ATTGTTTAATAATTTCCATACACTATTGAATGCTCTCTTTTTGGATAATGAACAAATGGGATTTCTTCCAGTCACCTGGCCCAGTAACTGTCTTCCAGATTCCTTGGCACAAACTAGTAGCGGGCATGGCCTGACTGCATATATTTGCTGACTTCAAATTGTATCCTACCAATTCCTATGGACTTATTTGTTGCTATTGGGAGTTCTGATGGCCTAGTAGCAAGAAATTGCATTGTCTACCTAAATGCACATGGTTTGAATCCACCAGCTGCTCCCCAGGAGAAAAATGAGCAATTTACTCCCTTGAAATTTACTCCTTCTTAAAACACTCTGGAGGGTTTGTTATGGCTTGGTTCTAACTCAATAATACGTAACTATTTGCTGTTAAAGCCCTCACTGCAGCTTAGACTTCTTCCACCAGTACTATTGGTTTTTTATAATTTTGTTACTTCCTAAAATGGTTTTGTATTGACCAATTCTTTTTGGTACAGTAACTGTGCATTCCTCTCAACTCCTTTTTTTTTTAATTTATACTAGTTTATTTACAAAATTTTAATACATTGTTTTCACACCAGATGCTTCCCATTTCTCTCCCCCCATCAAATTGTGTGACCTCATAATTAATACCCTCCCCCCACATTTCCTCACCCCTCGGCTTTCACGCCCCCCTTGGATCCTCATACTCATCCTACTAAATGATTTTATACAGTATTTGTCCTTATGCGACTGAGTTAGTTCACTAAGCATAATGCGCCCCAGTCACACACTAGTTAGGCAGTAATTTATAAAAACATTGTTCCTGCATGCTGCGTAGTATTCCACTGTATGAATGTACCATATTTCTCAATCCATTCAATTGTGGTTGGACATCTGGGCTGTTTCCATGTTCTGTGGTGGGGAATAATGCTGCTATGAACATTGCCTCCCAACTTCTTTTGATGTTTCCTGCATCATTCAAGATTTTGCCCATAGAATCCTTCACTATTTCAACTTGATGCTTGATTTCCCCCCCCCTTTCAGTTAAGAGTGCCAAATGTGTAGCATGTTCTTCCCTTTTGGTTTTTTAACTCCAGGTCTTTGCATATTTCACTATAACACTTTGCTTCCCCCTCATCCCAGGATGCCATTAGAAATCTTTTATCAGCTCTAACTTATTCCAACCTTTTACTTTAACTTTTCTACATTTAAGAGTAAGTTTCAGAATATCTTCAGACATCCATTTTGGTCTTTCTTTTTAATGAAATTTTACTTTCTTCATGGATAATATCTTTGATGTCATCACACAAATCATCTGGTCTTTGGTTATTAGGGTTCAGTGCACCAAACTATTCTTGGGATGCTTTTTAAAATAGCTAGGATAATCACGAGGTTCTATTTTGGTTGTCATAGACTAGTTTTAATTTTCTTAAACTTCAATTTGAATTTGCATATGAGTAATTGATGGTCTGTTTCACAGTCAGCCCCTGGCTTTGTTTTGACTGCTGATACTGACCTTCTCCACTGTCTCTTTCCACAGATTTAGTCACTCTGATTCCTATGCATTTCACCAGGTAAAATCCAAGTGCATAGTAACCATTTATTGAATTAAGGAACACATTTTTAACACAGTTTTAGAAGTGCAATGGTTATTTAAGGGTATGAAATACAGTAAATTTATACTATTTCCCTGAAAGTGTTTGAAGAGTCTTTAGCTCACACCTTTCTCCAAAATACCTTCAGCTGAGCCCTGCTATATCTCATCTTTTTTTCTTTCTTCACAGATATAATGTACATTATTAAAGCAACAGGTCTAGGTCAATAGTATTGTAAAAGTGAATGAATAAATAAATAGTATTGACTACTAACTGTATCAAAACTCTTAAAAGTTGATTACCTCAAATTAACTGTATTTCCTCCAGGCCAAAGGTGAGTATGTTGTAGTTTCAATATTACTCATTGTGCTAAGTAGGAATGGCTTTTATTCTTTCATAGTCCATGATTCCTGAAAGTTATGATTAAGATATCTAGCTGTTCTCTGCACCCCCTCCCCCCAATATGCTCAGCATTCAGGTTCGGGGGGTTTCAGGATACTGACTTGCTCTCATTCTGGGTATTTTAAATTCAGGTATCTCTGAAACGAAAGCAGAAGCATATCTGTGGTGGAACCATCATCTCTCCAGAATGGGTGATCACAGCTGCTCACTGTGTAGCAAACAGGTAGGAGAAGTCTAACCCAGGATGAAGGTCCATTCATACTTCCTTCTCCCTTGATGTCAGCTGCAATAATTCTATTAAAACATGGTCCCATGTGATGGATGCTGTGACCAAGTACTGCAACCTAATTGCAAAACACAAATAGGGCTTAGTGACACTGTCACAGCAGTTAAATTGATAGAAAACATACATTCCTTATAGGAACAGAAAACTTTGTTAAAATACAATTGCTGCTTAATAAAGAATAATGTTGCTGTTATTATTAGGTGCTGTTGAGTCAAAACTAACTCACAGCTAACCCTCTAGTAGTTTTTCAGAGGCTATAAATCATATGGGAGGGAATGACCCATCTTTTTCTTCAGAGCTACTAGGGGATTTGAATTGTGAGCCTTTGGGTTGACAGCACAACTCCTTACCCACCAGACCATCAGAGCTCCCTTAAAAGAATAATGTTGTTGTTACATACCTTTTAGTTGGGACCAACTCATAGCTGCCCCCTCCCAGCTGAATTTCAGAGGCACTATATCTCATGGGTAATGACCGTCCATCTTTCTCTCACAGAGCAGCTGGTGGATTAAAACCATGTACCTTCAGGTTGGCAGCAAAGCTCCTTACTACTAGGCCATGTTATTATTGTTAGGTGCCATCAAGTCGAGTATGACTCATAGCAAACCTATGAACAACAGATCTGAACCCTGTTCTATCTGGTGCCATCCTCACAATCTCTGATACACTCAAGCTCATTGCTGCAGTCACCATTTCAATGCACCTTTGGAAGGTCTGCCTCTCCTCTCCTCTACCCTTCCAAGCAAGCTGTCCCTTTCCAAGGAATTAACCTCTCCTAGCAACATGCCCAAAATGTGTGAGCCGAAGCTTTCTCATTTTTGCCTCTGAGGAGCACTCCAGCTGCACTTTCTCCAAGCTATGGGTCAGCTCCTATTCAATGTCAGATAACACCATCCCTGCAACATAGTTCCCCATTGTTCAAGTAAGAAAGATGTTATAAAAAAAAAGAAAGATGTTATCACAAACACAGATTTGTCAAAATTTTCTCCCAGCTTTCTTAAATTTCCTTGAAAAAAACTACTCATTATGCAGCTTAAGAAATAAAGTCTCAGAGCAAAAACAAGGAGTAGCTAATAAAGCATGATATCAACTCTTGCATCATTCTTCCTATTGATGACCCTGGCTCTCAGTCTCTACCTAAAAAATCTCATCTTCTCCATTTTCTTGTTGTTGTCTCAAGGTTCAACTATTCTGAGTGCCTCTTCAGTCAGTATCATGTCCTCATATTTGTCCTCTTTCAATTCTGCAAATATCTCCTGGATGCTTACCTGGCGCAAACCCTGGTACCAAAGATACAGAGATAGGAAAAACATAATTTCTGCCCCATGAGAGTTGATGGTCTAAATAAAGGTCAACAAATAATTTTCACTGAAATGTGCCAGGTATTAGCCAGAGATAAGCTATGAATTGTATTAAATACTTAGTACAACCAAGACTTAGGAACATATGCTGTTGTTGTTGTTGTTGTTGTTGTTAACTGCCATTGAGTCATAGACAACTCATAACGACTCTATCAATGAAAGACCTGAACACTGGTTTAACTTTCATAGGGCTGCTATGAGTCACAGGCAACTTGACAGTACATAACAACAACATTGCAAAGTACAGAATGTATTATTAGGCAACTCTGATGGTGTAGTGTATATGGAGGTGAGCTAATCCAAAGGCCATACCTCTTTGGTGGTTCAAGTCCACCAGAGACACTGTGAGAGAATAATGCAGAATCTGTTTCCGTGCAATATACAGCCTTGGACACCCAGTGGAGGTTCAAGCTCAGTTGGTTCAACTCAACAGCAATGATGAGGTTTGGGGAGGAGGGGGTTTTGAGGCCACTCTTTTCTAGTCCTCCACTGAAATAAGGAAACTTTGTGGTTTTTACGGTGCTATTGGTATTGGCCTTTTTCTTCTCTGTTGTGCAGTCATATACTTCACATGGTCCATTTATACAATTCTGAAGAGGTTAAGTTGTAATGCACTCAGAGGTTTAATGGAATCTACCTGCTTTATTCTATACACAGAAATACTGCTTCAAGTTTGAATGTTACTGCTGGAGAACATGATTTGAGCCAGAAAGAACCAGAAGAACAAACCCTCACTATTGAAACCATCATTATACACCCATATTTCACCCTAAAGAAACCAATGGACTACGATATTGCCCTTTTGAAGATGGCTGGGACCTTCCATTTTGGTAAATATTTGAGTTCAAAAGGATGCCCTTTGATCATCCTGAATTATCTACCTTGTTGTCCTCCATAGCTTCGGTTTCATATCACATTCTTGGCAGTATATATTATATACCATATGCCCAATAGTTCTAGGTCATGAACTTTGAGATAGAAATTTGGTGTGGAATACTCACTACCTAAAATGTGTTTTGCTTTGTCTATGAACATAGAATTATATGTAGTCAGGAGGGAGTCTTTCTTTTTCTGACAAATGGCCTCTAAAAGTGCCAGAAGAAAAGCCCTAAGTCTCACAAACTCTATCTTCAGGATCACCCAGAGAATAACTGATGAATGAGTTATGATGTCCTCTACTCCAAAGATGAAATAAACCTTCCAATGTTCTTTTCTGAAGGCCAATTCGTGGGACCCATATGTCTTCCAGAGCAAGGAGAACAATTTAAAGCTGGTTTTACTTGTACAACTGCAGGCTGGGGTCGCTTGACGGAAGGTAAGAACTTCTCTGACATTTCTCCTAAGAAGCCAGAACATCTTGGTGGATAACCAAAAATCAATCCAATTTTAGAAACATTTCTAAAGACAGAGAACATCATACTATATTTAGAATTTCAGAACTTAAAAACCCAGACAACTCTGAATGAGGCCTCTTAAATCACAAAGTATTAAAGAATGTCTTGATAGGGCTATTGTCTCTTTTACAGATGGCCTCCTCCCTCAAGTCCTGCAGGAAGTGAAGCTGCCAATTTTGACTCAAAAGGAGTGTGCAGCAGCTCTGTTAACATTAAAGAAGCCTATTCGGTGGGGGACCTTTCTCTGCACAGGTTTCCCTGATGGAGGAAAAGATGCCTGTCAGGTAGAAGGGAACTCCTGGCTTGACAGACCTAAGGCAGGTCTTCCTTGGCATTGTTATCAGATGAGTCACCAAAACAAGGCTGGAGGAGACAATGGAGTTTGGAAAGGAGAGTCAAGAATGACAAAGGGGGGAAAACTACAAAAGAGGTCAAAATATAATAAAGGGTCAATCTAAATAAGCAGCTTTAACCACACAGTATAAGCAGAGCGATAAAGCCAGCAATGGATTCAGGGTTCCTCCACCCATGGCATGCCTGACTATTATTTCTATAGACTTTCCAGTTTGTGAATAGTGAGTATCCTACTTTTCTTCCATTTTTCCTGTCTATCAACATCTCAAGTCAGTTTTACAGCTGGCTAGGGCTTCTGAATCTATAGAGTGAGACAGAGAGAGGAAGAAAGTCTGATGCATGGATGAAAGCCAACAACAGGGGGAAAGGAAAAAGAATTGATGGGCTCAAATGGTATTTGAGGATCATATGGGAACTGTACTAAACTGTTCTTCCAGATTCTGGGTCCTTGTTTTTAAAAGTGTTGGGAAGGATCATATGGGAACTGTGCTAAACTGTTCTTCCAGATTCTGGGTCCTTGTTATTAAAAGTGGAGGGGAGGATCATATAGGAACTGTGCTAAACTGTTCTTCCATATTCTGGGTCCTTATTATTAAAAATGTTGGGTTTTCATTTAGCATTCCTGTGGCAGAATGGAGTAAGTATTTTGTGGATACAGAAAAGGACAAGGATGGTAATAAAGGATTTTGCCCCTACAGGGAGATTCAGGAGGTGCCCTCATGTGCCGGAATGAAAAAGGAACCTGGACTCAAGCCGGTGTAACTTCCTGGGGCTTGGGCTGTGGTCGAGGATGGAGAAACAATATGGAGAAAATAAATCGTGGATCCCCTGGTATCTTCACAGACCTTCGTAAAGTGCTTCCCTGGATACACAAACACATCCAAATAGGCAACAAAGCCAACATACCAGGTTAAAAAATACCACTGTAGTAAGGCCAGAGAGAGGTTCTGCTTCTTTTTTTCAGAACAGCACAAAAGGATGGTGGTACTTACTGAGAATAAACTAAAATAAAAGGTGGTATGGGGTACTGTATGCACATACTCAATGAAACATGTTGTTGTGTTGTTATGTGCCGTCGAGTTGCTTGCGACTCATAGCAACCCTATGTACAACAGCCCTAAACTCTGAACTCTGCTCTGTCTGTGCCAATCACAGTCTCCAACACACACATCCCGATTACCCCATTCACTGAATCCATCCACTTCATAGAGGACGTTCTCCTCCTGCATTGTTCATCCACCCTCCATAGCATGATGTCCCTCTCCAAGGATATGTCCCTCCTTACAACATGTCCAAAGTATGTCAGACAAAGCCTCAGAATCCTTGTCTCTAAGGAGCCGCCTGGTTTAACCCTCTCCAGGATGAACCTCTTGGTTTTTTTAGCAGTCCATGGTACCCTCAATACTCTTCTCCAGCACCACAGTTCAAAGGCATCAATTCTCCTTCTATCCTCCCTAGTGATTGTCCAACGCATAACAAGTGATTGCAAAGACCATGGCCTGTATCAGACACACCTTAGTCTCCAGAGAGACACCATTGCTCTTCGGTACTTTGGAGAGGTCCCTAACAGCAGACTTTCCCATCGCAATACATCTTTTAATTTCCTGGCTACTAGTGCCAAGAGTGTTGACTGTGGAGTCAAGCAAACTAAAGCTGTGAACAATCTCAATCTCTTCACCATCCGTCATGATGCTGCCAATTG